AAAAGGGCATGCCCATGGGCATGAGGGGCATGCCTTAGCTCAGGGGCATGCCCATATGGGCATGCCCAATTTTTTTCCCGTGCCCCGAACCCTACAACCAATCAATGGATTCTTAATCATACTAACTTTTTACGGGTTTCCCAGTGAATCACGTTCAAATTATTGACCAATTCGGTCTTCCCACGTTATATAATATAGTATATATTTATTATGATACTTTTTTTTGATAACCAAAAATTTAGAATTTAACTTGTGAAATTTACGATGAAATTAAAGGAAATCCCTCGCACTGCAACATTTGCATGGAGTCCGGGACAGCATTTGCCAATAATTGCCACGGGTACCGTAGCGGGGGCTCTTGATGCTTCGTTCTCAAGTACAACAGAATTGGAACTTTTTCACATTGATATACATAGTTCTGATACTGCAGTGGAACTGCAGCCCTCTGCTGTAGTTACTAGTAATGCAAGGTTCGTAACTTTAATTTCTACAAGGCATTTAGCCATTGATTAAGGATTTTGTTTTATTTCTTTCATTTTCTTTTTTTTTTAGATTTGATCGCCTTGTATGGGGAAATGCAAACGATAAAACATATGGTATCATTGCCGGCGGATTGGAAAATGGTGAATTAGATCTATGGGATCCAGAAATAATCTTGGAGAGTGGCAAGTGAGTTTTAACATGGTTTTCGATTTGATCGAGATCGATTATATGTTGATAGCATAATTAATTCTTTTAAATGATTCGACGTGGATGCATTCTCTTTATTAGCGCAGAAAAAGCTTTATTACTACGTAACACAGCACATTCCGGAAACGTTCGTGGATTGCAATTTAACCCAATTCAAAATAATTTATTAGCCTCGGCTGCAACGAATGGCGAAGTACTTAATGTTTTCTATGGTATACTTCATTGCTACCACAATTTCTTATAATGTTTTAATTCTTCAGATATTTATCTGGGATCTGGCAAAACCTGATAAACCCTATACCCCTGGTACAAAATCGCCAAAAATGGAGGAGATCACCCACCTGGCTTGGAATAATCAAGTGCAACATATTTTGGCAACATCTTCGACTACGGGTTATACCTTAATATGGGACTTAAAAAACAAGAGGGAGGTTATGCATTTATCATATACGGGTGCTGCTTCCCATTTAGCAGGCGGTTATGGTATGGGATCTATGAATATGGCTTCCGGATTAGGTGTCGGGAGAAGGGGCATCACTGCAGTGGCGTGGAATCCTGATATGGTAAACTGTAAAAGAATTATATTTCTCTGGTACATATATTTTTATTGACCTATTCTACAAATTTTTAGGCAACGCAAATAATAACTGCCTCTGAAGATGATAATAACCCAGTTATTGTAATTTGGGATGTTCGTAATGCGCATGCTCCAGAAAAGGTTATATCGATCATCTAAAAGCTACCTTAGCATAAAAGTTTCATTTTGTTTTGACTGTGGTATGGTTTTGTATTTATTCAGGTCTTGACGGGGCATGAAAAAGGTATTTTGTCGTTGTCTTGGTGTCAAAAAGATGCCGACTTATTGCTGTCATGCGGTAAAGACAATAGAACTTTATGCTGGAACCCGAGAACAACCGAAATAATAGGGGAGGTGGGTATTATACATAGTACAGAAAAAGAAAAATAGCTTGAACAATATTAACGAGAATTCTTTGTGTGTTTTTTTTTTTTTTTTTAATAGCTCCCGTCAAGTTCAAATTGGGCTTTTGAAGTTCAATGGTGTACCGGAAATCCGTACTTGTTGGCATCCGCTTCTTTAGATGGAAAGGTATTTTTACTAAATGTTCTAAATTATTGTTATTATTTCATCTTTTTAATACCTGATCGTTTTTTTTAAACTCTGGTAAAAGATTAGCGTCCATTCTTTGCAATCTAACCAAGATAAATCAGTACAAGCCAACGTACATGACAATGACGATCCCTTTGCACCAATTGCTTCCGCACATCAACCATCTCTCACACTCAAACAACCTCCAAAATGGCTAAGGAGATCTGTAGGTGTGATGTTTGGTTTTGGTGGAAAGTTAGTTTCATTTTGCGATAAGGCTTCTACAGGAGCTGCACCTAGCAAGCATGTTGTCACAATATCCACTGTTGTGACGGAACCAGAGGTCGTGCAGCGATCCATTGAACTTGAGTCATCAGTTGAAGAAAAGTCTCTCGGCATCTTCTGTGAACGTCGTGTCAAAGCAGCAGCAAACGAATTTGAGTCAGAAAATTGGAAGGTTCTTCACACAATGTTCAATGAAAATGCAAGGGAACAGTTAGTTAAACATCTTGGATTTTCAAAAGATGATGTAGTCTCTCAAATATCGACTGCTATAAAAGCTATGAATTTAAAGGGAACCTCAAATGAGGAATCAAAACAGTCAGAAATAAATAATATTCATGACATTTTACGGCAAGATAATACCACAGAGCCAGTTGGTGTAGTATCCTTACCTTCGAGCCCTATTGACGTTAAGTCAGATGCGGAACAAGGTCACGATGAACAATTTGTTGCCAAATCAGATAATATGGACGAATTATTTTCCGGACCGACTGATCCTAGTGGACCCTCAGATGCTTCTAATTTCTTCAGTTCTGGGAACATCCCTGATGTATTTCCTGTTCAAAGTAAAAATATCAATATTGGTTCATTCAAAATTTATCCCGCACAAGAATCAGATGTTGATAAACTAATTACCCGATCCATAGTACTTGGTGATTTTGAATCTGCAGTAGACTTATGTTTAAAAGCTGACAGATTGTCAGATGCAATACTTTTGGCGGGTTGTGGTGGCCAAGAACTTTTGCAGCGAACTAGGAAAATATACTTCGAAAGGCGAGCATCGACCATCCCATATCTACGTCTTCTTCAGAGTATTGTTTCTGGCGATTTATCGGACATTGTATTCAATGCAGATTTATCCGAGTGGCAAGAAATTGTTGTAGTTCTTTGCACATTCGCTCGTCCTGAAGAATTTGGAGGATTATGTAACGCACTAGGTCAGAGACTAGAGCAAGAATATCGTAAGTTTGTTGGTCCTACATCAACAGAAGAAATGAAATCAAGAGGATTAGAATATAGGAAAAATGCTGTGTTATGTTTCCTTGCTGCTGGTAATTTGGAAAACGTTGCAAGTATTTGGATTGCTGAACAAGAAAATGAAGAAAAACAATATGAAACGGTACAAAATAATCAGGACGGGTCTAAATGTACAGGCTTGAAGTATTCTTACCACGCAAAAACTCTTCAGAGCCTGATCGAGAAAGTTACCATATTTCGCAAGGCGATCGACTATGTTGACGCATCCATGGTTCAAAGTTTAGATTCATCTACTAGTGAATCAAATCAACAGTACAAATTGTATGCCCTATATGACAAGTACGCAGATTACGCCGAAATTCTTGTATCACAAGGTCGCTTAACTACTGCCC